CTCCTTTGGTTCTTAGAGCATTGGCTACTGATGTGGCTACAATTCAGTATATTTGCTGTTAATGCCAACCACATTGTCTCTGGGTAGCAGTGCCACCCAGTGTATTGACTGCAGATGCTCTTGCAAATACCAATTTATTAGCCACTCATGCATTTGTTGGTTCAATCATTGATTATGGGTGCTTTTGGTGTATTAACAGCTTATTCTGTTCCCAATAGTTGAACTGGTCAACTTCTTCTTTGTTATTTCATGAGATGTGGGTATCATTGCCTAGGCGAGCATTTACTGCCAATCCCTAATTATCCTTGGGAAGGTGGCACTGAGCCACCTTGTTGAACTGCTGATTTCTTGTGGTGTAGGGACAGCCACAGTGCTGTATCAGGATTTTGATCCAACAACAATAGTGAAGGAACAGCAATATTGTTTCTAGAATGGTGTGTGATGTGGAAGGGCACTTACAGGTGGTGGATATCCTATATATCTGCTGCCTGAGACTTTCTAGGTAGTAGAGGTCGCGGGTTTGGAAGGTGCCATTGAAGCAGCCTTGGTATTACCTGGTAGATGGTAAATAAATCTGCCACTGCGCGTTATGAGAAGCAGTGTTAATTACGCAGGGCTGCATGTGCTGGATGGAGTATAACTTCTTGAATTTCGTTGTAGGTACTCTATCTAGAACAAACAGGTTTTGAAAATACATGATGAATGGTAGGATGCTGGGAAACAGCAAGTGAGTGCATTTACACAGGTCCCTTAAGATATCAGGACTGGTGGATAAAGTGGTTAAGAAGGCATATAGTACACTCGCCTTTATTCGACGAGGTATACAGATCAAGAGCAGGGACGTTATGCTGGAACTGTACAAAACATTGGTTAGGCCACAGCTAAAGTGTGAAATTCATGAATCCACATTAAAGGAGGGATGGGATTGGACTGTAGCTCGTTCAAGGAGATTTACCATGATGTTGCCTAGAGAGTATCAGTTATGAAGAGAGATTGGACAGATTGGGATTGTTTTCCTTACAGCAGAAAATGACTGAGATGTATGAAATTATGAGGGGCACAGATAGGGTGGACAGGAAGAAACTCATCTCTTTGATGGAGAGATCAATGACTGCAGCATAGATTTAAGGCAGGGGGTAGAAGGTTTAGAAGAAATGTGACAAAATACTTTTTCACCCAGAAGGTGGTGGAAATCTGGAACTCACTGCCTGCAAGGGTGGTATAAACAGAAAATTTCATAATATTTAAGAAGCATTTATATGTGCATTTGTGTTGCCAAGGCATACAAGGCAATGGGCCAAGTGCTGGGAAACAGGATTAGAATTGTTAGATGGTTGCTTTTGATCAGTGCAGTTGCTACGGGCTGACGGGCCTTTTTCTGCGCAGTAAATCCCTATGACTCTATGATGCATCTAGGCAAGTAGATAATCTCTTCCAGACAAATGGATCACTTTCCTGACTTGTATCCTGTAGATACTTTGGGGTTTCATGATCTTGTAGCCACGTTATTTATATGGTAGGTCCAGTTCAGTTTCTGGTCAAGGTGTAGATAGTAGAGAATTCAGTGATTGTAATACGCTGAATATCAAGAGAAGATTGTTAGATTCTCTCTTGTTAGAGATTGTCATTGTCTGGTACTTGGGTGGTGCCAGATTTTGTTGCATTTGGACAGACTACTTTGGTATCTGAGGAATCATGAATGCTGGGGAACATTATACAAACATCAGTGCACATCCCCAATTCTGACCTTATGAGGAAGGAAGATCACAGATAAAGCATGTTTTGGCCAAGGTCACCAAGGAACTCCTCAACTAATGTCTCAGAACTGAGGTAATTGATCTCTAACAATCACTACCATTTTCCTTTGTTTTAGATATGACTCTAACCAGCAGAGGTTTTTCCTGCTGATTCTCATTGATGTCAGCATTGCTAGGGCTCTATTATGCAATATTCAGTTAATTGACACCTTGATGTCAAAGGTAGTCACTCTTACATCAAGTCTGGAGCTCAGCTCTTTTGTTCGTGTTTTGACCAAGACTGTAATGAAGCCAGGAGTTGAGTGGCCCTGGCAGAATCCAAACTGAGCATAGTTAGCAGGTTAGTCCTGAGCAAATGCTGTTTGATAGCACTGACAACAGCCTCTTCCATCAATTTTCCACTTGGTTGAGAGAATGGATGGGCAGTAAATTGACTGGGTTGGATTTGTCGTGCTTTTACATATACCATTATTCACATTACTGAATATATGTCAATGTTATAGCTTCTCTGGAATGTAATGGTCTGGGGGTCTGGCTAATTCTGGAGCAGAAGGCTTCAGTACTATTGCTGGGCATTAGCCTTTGCAGTATGCGGTGCCTTCAGCTTTTTCTTAATATCATTTGGAGTAACTCAAATTGGCATCTATGTTGTTGGGGACCTCAGGAGAAGGGTGCGATGGATCATCCGCTCGACACTTCTGACTGAAACTGGTAATAAATGGTTCAACTTTTTTGCACTGATGTGCTGCTGGTATGATTAGTGGAGCAAGTTTCTCTTAATTGTTTAAATTTCCACCTCTATTCATGATTGGATATAGCAGGAGCGTGGAGACCACAGACAACTGCTGTCGCTGCAGGCACTACTGGAACCTCATTCAGCACATTAAATTGGTGCTGCTATTCAATGCATTGCTAAAAAATTCAGTCCACCTGGTTTATTCGTTATGGTCACGCACCTATTTGTATTGATTTCAGATACAACATCCTCTCTGTCCATTCAGGTGCTGGTCAAGTTTCACTGCCACTCCATACATGTCTCACTCCTATTGCATTGATTGCAGATTGGCTCTCACTGCACCTACTACAGGTGCCACTCCCCATGCTCACACCCAACCAATACCACCGATTCCATGGTTTGAATGCTCTCAACTAGGTGCCACCCCTTCTAGTAGGGTCCTTCCCCTCCTTTAGGTCCCTTTGCCTCACAGTAAGACATTACTCCTCCTCATGAGGCCACTCCCTTCCCAGAGACATTCAAGCCACCTCTCCCACTGAGGGCTCTAGAAGGGTCCTGACCCGAAACGCCAACTTTCCTGCTCCTCTGATGCCACCTGGCCTGCTGTGTTCCTTTATCTCCACACTGCGTTGTGTCTCTCTCCCCATATGGCCCCAACCACTTCATTATGGATACATGGAACTGTCCCTCTTCCGCTGCTACACTGGCACTATCCTCCACCTTTTCATCTGCTACATTGATGACTGTATTGGCGCTGCCTCGTTCTCCCATGAGGAGTTTGAACAATTCATTAATTTCACTAACACCTTTCACTCCAACCTCAAATTCACTTGGATCATCTCCGATACCTCCCTCTCCTTCCTGGACCTCTCTGGTTCCATCTCTGGTGACCGCCTCGAAGCCGACATCTATTTCAAGCCCACTGACTCCCGCAGCTACCAAGACACCATCCCCTCTCACCCACCTTCCTGCAAGAATGTGATCCCCTACTCCCAATTCCTCTGCCTTCGCAGCATCTGCTCCCAAGATGGGGTGTTCCGCTCCCACAAATCCCAGATGTCCTCCTATTTCAAGGACCATAACTTCCCTCCTCTGGTGATTGAAACTACACTCAACCGCATCTCTTGCGTTTCCTGCGCCTCTGCCTCACATCCCTCCCCAATAAAAATAAAGACAGAATCCCCCTTGTCCTCACATAGGGCGGCACGGTGACTCAGCGGTTAGCACTGCTGCCTCACAGTGCCAGGGACCCAGGTTTGATTCCAACCTCAGGCTACTGTCTACATGGAATCTATACATTCTCCCCATGTCTGTGTGGGTTTCCTCTGGGTGCTCCGGTTTCCTCTCACAGTTTAAAGATGTGCAGGCTAGGTGGACTGGCTGTGCTAACTAATCTGTAGTGTTCAAGGATGTGTACATTAGGTGGGTTATAGAGGGGATGGGTCTCGGTGGGATGCTCTGAGGGTTGGTGTGGACTTTTGAGCCGAAGAGCCTGCTTTCACACTGTAGGGATATTATGATGATATCACTGCAGCAACGTACCATTCTCCGCCACTTCAACCACCTACAACCAAAGATATATTTCCCTCCCCACCCGTATCCAGCTTTCATAGGGACCGCTCTCTCTGCGACTCCCTCGTCCGCACTGCATTCCCCACTAATCCCAGCACCTTTCCCTGCAACCGCAGGAAATGCTACACCTGCCCTGACATCTCCATTCAAGGCTCAAAACATACCTTACACATTAGACGCAGGTCAACCTGCATATCATTCTACTGCATCCTTGCTCCCGATATGGCCTCCTCTACATCAGTGAGGCCAAGCAGTGACTCAGGGACCATATCGTACAGCATCTGCGCTTTGTTCACAACAAATGACAACACCTTCCGGTCATGAACCATTTCAACTCCCCGTCCCACTCCCTGGGTGACATGTCCATCCTGGGCCTTCTCCAGTGTCACAATGATGCCGCCCGGAAACTGGAGGAGCAACACCTCATATTCCACCTCAGGAGCCTACAGGCCAATGGCCTCAACATGGAATTCATCAGTTTTAAAATCTCCCCACCCCGGGCCTCATCCCTTGACCATCCCTGCCTCCTTGACCTGATACATCCTGTCCATCTTCTCTCCCACTTCACTGACCAATCCCCACCTCTCCCTGAGATAACAAAGTGTAGAGCTAGATGAACACAGCAGGCCAAGCAGCGTCAGAGGAGCAGGAAAGCTGACGTTTCGGGCCTATAGCCTTCTTCTAGACCCCACCTCTCCCCACCTGCACTCACCTACCTTCCCCACTACCACCCTTACCCCTCCTCCTTCTAATTTCTGATGAAGGGTCCCGACCCGAAACGTCGACTTCCCTGCTCCTCCAGCCCCACACTGCGTTGTCTTTCCCTCCCCTATGGCCCCACCCATTTTGTTATGGACACACCCATGAGGTCCCGCCCGACCCACGAGCGCCCTCCCCTCCAATGGAGGGTCTGGAAGTGCCCATGCGCAGTGAGAGTAGTGCTTCCTCTTCATTTCCATGGCGACCGAGGAGGTGGCGGTGGTTGCGGCTCGGCGGAAAGCTCTCTCCTTGTCTCGGCTCCGGGCTGCTCGGTCTCGCTACCAGAGCCTACACATCTCCGATGATGTGTTCGGGGAGTCGGGTGGCGACAGCAGCAGCGATGACAACCCGTTTTATAGCACCTCGGCTGGGAGTTCGCAGTCCGACTGTGGAGGGGGGGAGGAAGAGGGGGATGTGATGTTGCGGGAGGCGGGGACCGGGGGCAGAAGGCCCGACATCACCGGACAACCCAGCTCAGAGTCGGGAGATGGAGAGGAATCGGCTGCAGGATGGACCGAGCGGCTGAAGGACGTCGTGTTCCCTCCGCACGTCGAATCGGCGGGTAAGAGACAAGGGACTTCAACCGTGGACTGCGTCCAGGTGCAGCCGCGGGATGTAAGGAGGGGTGTGTGGGGGCAGAGGTCTGACCGGTCGGCCCTGCCCTGGAGTCTGTGTGAGGATCCTGTCTTATTGTGCTGTCGCTTTTCCGGGTCGCTGCCTCCGCTCCAGTTGCCAGGGAGCTGCAACACCTCTTGGGGGATGGGTGGGCGGCTGCTTCAATCTGCTTTCCACCTTCATCTCCGGGGTATTTTGCGGAATCTGCTCCCCACCCTTCCTGAGAGCCGCATTTCCCCCGCAGAACCAGCGTCCCTCCCAGCCCACTCGCTCGCTCAACTACCCCGTGCTGGGGAATTTGAGCTTCAACGGTTTGATGGATAAATTTCCTGAATAACATCCCTGCTGGCTCAGCTGGGAGGTTGTCGCCTATGCATCAAGGCTTTAGTGATGTGTCTGTGTGAATAACGAGGAAAATTCTCAATCACTGTTGACGCTCGGTTCGTCCAATCTCCAGAGGATTCTTGTTGGTTCAAGGGATTAATTTCTCATACACGGCTTTACGATCCGATGCACTGCAGTTGTGAATGAGTTATCCCAGACGGTTCGCTTTCGCTGGACACCTCCTTTAAGATGTTGGAACTGTTTTAATGTCCTGCTTTTGGATTTGTTGATTTTATTTTTCAAACTGTCGGTCAGAAATAAATGTTTTAATTGTGTAGTCACGAATCGTTATATGGTCACCCATGTTCTGCAGGAATTGTTAGACAGGGTTGATTGTTGGGGGCGGATCGGAGAGAAATAATGCAAAGACTGAATTTTGTCATCTTCCCAAAGCACAGAAATGTATTTGTTGCACATATGGTTTACGCTGAGGCGTTATCACAATTTTAGTAGACCGGTTTGTTCACTTTCAGTTCTTTTGTGTATTCATGAGTTGTTAGCTTTGATGATTAATGGAATTTCAAGGCAGCGCATTTACTTGTTGCTCATTAGTAGCTGTAATACTAACATTATTCAATAGGCGAGTTTGTAAGAACTGCCGATGCTGGAGTCAGAGATAAGTGTGGAGCTGGAGGAACACAGCAGGCCAGGCAGCATCAGAGGAGCAGGAAAGCTGACGTTTCGGGTCGGGACCCTTCAGAAAATTTTCTTCAGATTTTCTGAAGAAGGGTCCCGACCCGAAACGTCAGCCTTCATACTCCTCTGATGCTGCCTGGAATGCAGTGATCCTCCAGAAAGAAACGCAGCATGCGTATACAACAGGCGTCTTGCTTATCTCTGAATTCTGCCAGTTCCCTCCCACCCTCTGATAGTTTTGTAATGCTTGAGACCAAGGGTCAAAATTATTTTGAGATTGGCTGGAGGGCTACCTTTTTCGTCTCGCTAACTCACTTGTTAGGTGACGCAGTCGCGTGATAACATTTTCTCCTGTGTTTGTGTTGCTAAATAGTGCTTGAACTCAGTTAGAATTAGAAGTAGTCATCAATAATTTCCAAATCAACTGTCGTGGTACAACTTGACAATCCACTAGGAGACTCCGATACTGCTTATGACTTTATTTTAGAGTACACTGAAAGAACCAGCCTTAAAGCAGTCTGACTGAACTCGGGGGGTGGGGGGACCATAATTCTCATCCCATACACCTTGGGGGTCTCTCTCGATTTTTTATCTGACTTTAATTTGCAATCGTACATCATACATTTACTTCGTTCCCACAGTACATACATCACCCAGTGTTCTTGTCTTAGGCTTTTCCCTTATTCTGCATTTTTTTTTCAATCATTCACTCCCTGACCTAGCTGTTTGCCTAAGTCCCATTCTTTATTCTGTATAGTGTATACCTGTTAATCTTCTGTTCTTATCTGCTTATGTCTTATTTTACTAAAAGACTCTTCTAAGTGAAACTGCATAGCACTTCCCATTAACCCTCCATCAAATCGGAAAGCATGAAACTTCTTCAACATACCACAGTATTTTAAATTGACAAAAGGTGGCACACGTTAACAATAATGTTTTATAAAATAACTGACACTGATTGTGTACTGGTCAGTACTGTGTTGTGGCCATAGTAATCTCGGCTTGAATCCAAGTCACAGCATCACAGCACCATCTTTAAGGGGCCCACTTGTGGTGCAGTGGAAGTGTCCTTAACCCTGAACCCAGGTTCATGTCACACCTGTTTGAGAGGTGAAAAGTAACTGAACAGGTTGATTAGAAAAAATAGGTTCATTTTAAAAAAAAAAAGCAGACCCCAAGGGGCCCTCTTGTGGCACAGTGCTTTTAAAAAGAAGTACAAAATAACAGGCATTGTGATTGTATACTAGTTGGTAGTCTGCATTGTGGCCAAAGTAACCTTGGCTCGAATCTGAGTCACAGCCCTTTCTACAGGAAGGCCTCTTGTGGCGCAGTGGTAGTGTCCTTACCCCTGAACCTAGAGACCCAGTTTCAAGCCCCACCTTCTCCGGAGGTGTGTAATAACACCTCTGAACAGGTTGATTTAGAAAAATATTTTAATAATAATAAACACAAAACTGCCCTTCTACATACACAAAACCTGTCACCTTAAACACGCCTTTTGCACACTGAGGTCACTATTCATTTTTAACAATTTATTCTTGGGATGCTGGCATCACTAGCTAGAGCAGTTTTATTGCCAATCTGAAATGACCAGTAGGCATTTGAGTGACTGCATTACGTGGGGTCTGGATGTAGGCCAGATGAGATGGAGGTAGTAGGTTTCTTTTCCTAAAGACCATGAGTGAACCAGATGATTTTTACAACAACTGATGGTAGTTACATGATTGTCTTTAAGCTAGTTTTTTTAATTACAAATGCTTAATGAAATTTAATCTGCCAAGGTGGGATTTGAACCCATGTCCTCAGAACATTAGTCTGAGGTTCATGTTTACTAGTCTAGTGACATTACCATAACAGCACACTGCTTTCTCATGTATTTAAATCACGTGCACAAACTTGAAACATTTTAACTAGGCAGTTACTGCATCTTAAAATGAAGTTTAATAATTGGCACACTATTAATTATAAAGCATCCACTGCATTTTCGTTGTATAGTAACTCCTGACTGTAGCAGCCTAAAGTTAGAAATTCCAAATTTGTTTACATGGATTTCTTTATCTCAGTCATTTCAAATTTTTCTGGCAGCCATTTCACTGAGTAATCCTTTGTGATGGATTTAAAATGGTTCTGAAACTCCTTTCCTCTGCCTTGCCATCTCCATGCCCTCCCTGTGATTCCCTCACTGCCACCAATTACTTTCCATCAGTAGTAAGTGTGAGAGAGTACCAGCCACGATTGGAGAAGCAATTCCTGTCCAATTTTGTACTTTCCGCAGAAACAAGTGATTTTTCTCCCATAGGTTGCTTACGTGGTTTTTTTTTCCCCCAGGTATTCCGGGGAAAGTTGCCCACCCTTGTTCCTGTATATTTTAATCCGTGGTTGAGATATGGAGAAGATTTTATTTTCTAGTTAACACACTTAGAATTTATATTACATACATATTTTGGGTCCAGTGACCCTTCAGAACGGCTCTAAAGAAGGGTCATTGGATCCGAGATGTTAACTCTGCTTTCTCTTCTCAGATGCTGCCAAACCTGCTGAGCTTTCCCAGCAACTTTTTTTTATTTTCATGGTTGATGTGAGTTTATATGTCTAAGAATAAACTTTACGGTGTTGTTGATAGATGACTTAAAAATGGTAATACTATTGAACAGCAAGAGGAGCTGGTTAGATTTTCTCATGCTGGAGATAGTCATTGCCTGACACTTTTGAAGGTTGCTTATCACTTGTCAACCCAAGTTCTAATATTGTGCTGGTCTTGGACACCCTCTTGTGGTGCAGAGGAAGTGTTCCTACCTCTGGACTGAGACTTGGGTTCAAGTCCCACCTGCTCCAGAAGGTGCGTAATAATGTCTGTGAAAGGTTGATTTGGGGAGGAAAAAATAGGTATGCAATCTTGGCACAAGTGGGCATGGGCTCTTTTAGGATCTGAGGACGTGTAAATGGTACTGAACAATGAGCAACCCCACTTCTCATTAGGTCTAGACACTACTATGAGCATCTCCTGCATCAATAGCATGAGAACAATGGGCCTCAGTAACCACAATTACCTTTCTTCATGCTACATATGACTTCAGTAGGATGAAGTTCAATTGACCTGCATCTTTCTGAGCTCCTTAATTTGGTCAAACGATGGCTTGCTATTGAGGGCAATGTTCTCACCAGACCTTGTGAATTCAGCTCTTTTGGTTATTTGGATAAAGACTGTAGGGTGTGCTTGTGGTATGGTGCTGCTTGATGGTGTTAATTATACCCTCCATCACTTTAATCAATAATAGAATGATTGGCTAGGATTTGTTTTGCTTTTATTTGGACAGGGCAATCTTCCACTGTCAGGTAAATAGAGTTCCACCTGTATTAAAACGTAGCTATGTCTTTGGTTAGTTTTGGAGCACTTCTTCAGTACTTTTGAAATGTTGCATAGCCATAGCCTTTGCTGTAGACAGCATTATCTTCTGTTTCTGGATGTGACATAGCTGAAGACTAACATCTGTGATGCAGGGGCTTTCAGGAAGGGTTGGCTTGCATTATCCACTTGGCACTTCTGACTGAAAATGGTTGTAAATGCTTCAGTTTCTCTCTTGCACTGATGTTCTGATGGGTGTGTTTGTGGAACCCTTACCTTCTGCTTGTTTAAATGTCCCTCACTGTTGTTGAATGAAGAGCTTTGATATCATTTATTCATTGTAGAATTAATTTATTTTGTTTCACTTGCTGTTTCCAATGTTTAACTGTTGTGAGGAAAACATAGATTCTGCGAAGGGGTATAGATAGGTTAAGTAAGAGGGCAAAGGTTGGCAAATGGAATATAATGTGGGAACGTGTGAACTTGAATTGGAAAATGGAACAGAAAGAAATATGTTAGTTAACTGAAGTGAGATTGAAGAATTGAGCGACTGAAACATCTGGATGTCCTGATACATCAATCTCAAATGATTAGTTTGCAAATGCTACAAGTGATTAGGAATGGAATTATTGATGTTTATTACTGGAGAATGGAAAATACAAATAGAAATGTTTCGCTAGTGTACCGAACTTCGGTGATATCTCATCTAGAGTGCTCTATACAGCTTGGTCCCTGTATTTGAGGACGACATAATTGCATTGGTAACAGTTCAGAGAAAGTTGACATGACTGATTATTGGTTGAGGGTTTATTTTTGTATGGGGCTGGGTCTGTGTACATTGAGTGCAGAATAGTGGGAGATGATCTTCTTGAAACATCTAAGATCTGCAGGAACTTGAAAGGATGTGTTCCTCTATGGAAGAGACTAGAACAAAAAGGTGCAGACTTTTTTAAAAAAAAAAACAAAAAGGTGTTTTCTTTTGGAGTTGAGTTTGTGGTGTTCTGCTCTCTGGAGAGTGGGAGGCAGAGTCACTACATATTTTTAAGGCAGAAGTAGATTTATTTCCTAGTTACCCACAAATTTATGGGTATTAGAATTGAAGCTGCAACCAAATTAGCATGGTCTTGCTGAATGGCAGAGCAGACACAAGAGGCCAGCTTAACATGGAGTTTGTATGTGTGTGTGTTCTGTTTTAGTGTCAGCAGTTTGACGTCAAATTTAGGTATACCTAGTGTGGTTCCTGGCATGTTGTCCTGCACTCTTCATTGAATCAAGTTGAGCGTGGCTAATAAGGTACATTACGGATAGTATTAGATCCAAGAAAGTGGCATGCAGATTTGCTAAAAGAAGCAGCAGACCAGGGAATTGGGAGCATTTTAGATTTCCGTCATGGGGACAAAGGGATTGATTAAGGGGGAGAAAATAGATTACGAGTAAGCTTGCAGGTAATATACAAACTGATTATAGCAGTTCACAGCATGTATAGGTATGTGAAGAGAACAAGATTAGTAAAGACAAATTTAGGACCCTTGCAGTCAGAAACAAGGGAGGTTAGCATAGGGAACAGAGGTGGTAGACCAATTAAATACACACTTAGTTCTGCCTTCACCAAAAGGAGGAAACAAACAATGTCCCAATGATATTGGGGAATGTGGGGTCTAGCAAGAGGGACGAACTGAAAGAAATCAGTATTAGTAGGGAAATGGTGTTGGAGAAATTGATGGGATTAAAAGATGATAAATCCCCAGGGCCTGATAGTCTGCAACCCAGAGCTTTTAAGGAAGTGGCCCTAGAAATAATGGATGTGTTAGTGATTATCTTTCAAGTTCTATAGATTAGTGTAACTAATGTTACTTTGCTATTTTAAAAATGAGGATCATGAAAAACAGGAAATTATAGACCAGTTAGCCTGACATTGGTAGTAGGGAGAGAGTCCATTCTAAAAGATTTAGTAACAGCACACTTGGAAAACAGTGTCAGGATTGGACAGTCAGCATGGATTTATAAAAGGGACATCATGCTTGACAAATCTGTTGGAAGGACACCCTATGGATATGGTTTACTTGGATGTTCAGGCTTTCAGTAAGCTCCCAGAAAAGAAGTTAGCATGGAAAATTCAAGTGCGTGATGTTGGGGGTTGCGTACTGACACAGATAGTGATGCTTGGCAGACAGAACAAAGAAGGAATAAATGGTATTTTTTCCAAGTAGCAGCTAGTGACTACTGGGGGAACCAGACGATTCACAATATATATTAATGATTTTGAGAGAATGAAATGTAATATCTCCAAGTTGCAGATGAGACAAAGCTGGAAGCAGAGATACTTTGATTTTACAGGTTGAGTGGGAAAATGTATGGCAGACAAAGTATAATCTAGATAAATGTGAGATTCTCCATTTTGGTAGCAAAAGGAGGAAGGCAGATTATTATTTGAATGGTGGTAGATTGAGAAAGTGCAACAAAACCTAGCGTCCTTGTACACCAGTTGCTGAAAATAAACATGCAAGTACATCAGGTAGTTAAGAAGGCAAATGGTATGTTGGCTTTCATAGTGAGGGGATTAGAATATAACAAGTATACCTAATGCAGCAATTGTGTTGGGCCTTGGTGAGATCACACCTGGAGTATTGTGTGTAGTTTTGGTCCCCTTATCTGAGGAAAGATGATATTCTGGCTATGGAGGGAGTGCATCAAAGCTCTATTGGACTGATTTCTCGGGTTAGCAGGACTGATCTGAGAGACTGGATTGTTTAGGATAGTATTCGCTGTAATTTAGAAGAATGAGGGGAGATCTCATAGCAACCTATAAAAATCTAACAGGACCAGACAGGAAAAATGCAGGAAGGATATTCCTGATTACTGAGCAGCTCAGAACCAGGGGCCATGGTCCAAGGATACAGCATAGACCATTGGAGACTGAGATGAGAAATTTCTTTACCCAGAGCATGGTAAGCTTGTGGAATTCTTTGCCATGTAAAGTGATTGAAGTCAAAGCATTGACTGTTTTCAAGGAATCTGACATAGTTCTTGTGGCTAACGGGATCAGAATATGCTGAGAAACTGGGAGCAGCGTACCAAGTTGGATGATCGGCCATGATCATGCATATTGATGGCGCAGACTCAAAGGCTGCTACTAACTGAGCCAAGGCTGAAACTTAGCAGACCAAAAGTTACAGTCTACGAGTTGGGCTGTAACAAGTGGCTGAGGAGACTTGATTTCTACTAATTACATCCATGAAAATCAGGGGTGACATAAGGAAAATTGTTATTAATTGATGAGTGGATAAGATTCGAAATGCACTGCCCGATTGTGTTGTGGATACTGATTTCAATTGTACCTTTCAAAGGGAGTTGGACAGATAACTGAAGGACAAAGAAGTATAGAGATGGGAAAAAACAAGGATGTGGGGCTTAATGAATTGCCCTTTGAAAGAGCAAAAAGACAATGGGCCAAATGACCACCTGTGCTGTACTATTCTATGATTCAATCTCAATGATACCACGTATGAAGTTTAGAGCAGTTTTTGTTTTCATATTTCAAAGATAGGAACACCAATTTAGTCAGTTGAACCTGTTGTGTTGATCAATTTGAATTTAAATCTATCTTCTTATCTTGGTTGCTACTTAATCCCCAATAATTGCTTAGTGAATAATTGTTTTTTTAATTTTGATGTTTTTATTTTACCCTTCCACCCCAACAACTTTTTAGATGAAGAAAGTTCCAGGTTTCCATTCTGCTTCGTGTGAAGTTTCTCTGACGTTATCTTTGAATATCTTAATTTTTACTTTGAGTTATCCCCTGTTCTGGACTCTCCTGTTAGAGGAAATAGTTTCTTATGAACTCCTCTAAATTTTAAACTCCACAGATTTATATCACCTTTTTTACTTTTCTGTTTTGAGGAAATACGCAATTAACTTGTGCAATTCTTAAATGTGGTATCATTCTGGTGAACCTGCAATACACACCCGCAAGGCTGCTAAATCCTTCCTGATGTATACATTACTGCATATTAAATGAGCACTAACCAGTCCATTATTAAATAATAGAAGGGGGGATCACCATTGCATGGCAATTGTTGACTTAAAACTAAGAAGGCATTACGTACTCCTCGAAAATATGATCTATAAGTAATACAGATCAAATAATTGATTGTACGGGTAGTTCTCCTATAATGTGATAGTTGCATTCTTGTGTGATCCTGTGCTATAGAAGATTGCTATACCTGTACAGCAGAAAGTTCTCGTTATCCAAACAGCATCCACTATTCATCGATTGAGTTATAGCCAATTCATGGTAACGAAACACGTGTTATAGCAGAATTATCTGTGTGGCAAAATGGAAAAAGCCCTATTCCTTGTTATGGATGACTATACTTATGCAACGAGTTACAGATTTTTATGTATTTCACTGAAAAGTAACCCAGACTTTTTTTTGCTTTTTCTTGCCACAGGTCCCGTGCATCAGATGCCACTAAATGCAAGTGCAATTGACTTCTTTCAGCTCTTTGTCCCTGATAATGTTATAAGGAATATGGTTGTTCAAACAAATATGTATGCCAAAAAGTACCAAGAAAGATTTGGTTGTGATGAAGGTTGGAGTGATGTTGATCTTCCAGAGATGAAAACCTTTTTGGGATATATGATCTCCACGAGCATTCACCACTGCGAATCTGTCCTCAGCATATGGAGCGGTGGGTTTTACAGCAACAAGAGCATTGCACTGATGATGACACAAATGAGGTTTGAAAAGATCCTGAAGTACTTCCACATTGTAGCATTTCGCTCCAGCCAGACAACGCATGGACTGTATAAAATCCAACCTTTTTTGGATTGCTTACAAATGACATTTGATACTGCATTCAAGCCATCTCAAACACAGGTACTGTCATCACTGTCACTCTGAGCTATGCACTTTTGGTTGAGTATCCATTTCCAATTTCTTTTCAGAAAGACTGTCTAATGATATCAAAATATGTAGAATTTACACCTGATAATTGTTATATATGCTGTCTTCTGTTTCCACCGCCCCCCCCCCCCCCACACCCCCGGCACTGAGATGTAAATTGTATTTTAAAAAATTGCTGCCTTCCATGGCGCACTGTTCTAACAGGTGTTGTACCATGCAGTGCACTAACCACAGATGAATCCTAGCACAGCAGCCACCGTCTGCCTTCCTGTTGGCTTGCTGCTGAGATTCAGCAGATGGTGAGTTCTAAGTCTGGCTGCAATTATCAGTGGAAGCTGGGTGCATTTGCACAAGGAAAGGAATATTGATTGGAGGGAGCTTTGTGGTTTCAGGGCTTTGGGGAAACCTTGCTGCTCTTGGAATTGTTTGGCTCTTCAGAAGCTTGAGTGGGGCCACACACTGATTTCTGCATACATGCTATGGGAAAAATCACACCAAAGCAGAAATCTCAAAGAAAATAGACCATTTCAGGCTGATTATTAGTGGGTTATTTGGTATTACTAGATGCATCTGTACATGGTGGCACAATAACTTGATTTGCTTCAACTGTTTTTGTTCTAGAATATGTGATATGGAAGCTACCATCAATATAAGACCAAGAAAATCTGGTAACTTTAGAGCAGTGCCGGAAATTCTGAAATGTCCTACCTTATTTCTTTAGCCCAGGATTGTTGTTGCCAGTACTTTGCTTCCTACTTGTCATTCTGCATTCCTTATCCTTATTCAATGAAGCTTGCAGGAGGGCATGCCAGGAGCAGCACCAGGCACCCCTGAAGATGAGGTATCAACCTGGTGAAGCCACCAAACAGGATTACTTGCATGCAAAACAGCGAAAGCAGCAAGTGATAGACAGAGCTAAGCGTTCCCACAACCAACCCATCAGATCGAAGCTCTGCAGTCCTGCCACATCCTGTTGTGAATGGTGGTGGACAATTAAACAACTCACTGGAGGAGGAGGCTCCACAAATATCCTCATCCTCAATGATGGAAGAGCCCAGCACAACAGTGCAAAAGATAAGGCTGAAGCATTCGCAGCAATCTTCAGCCAGAAGTGCCGAGTGGACAATCCATCTTGGCCTCCTTCAGTGGTCCCCAGCATTACATATACCAGTCTTCAGCCAATTCGATTCTCTCCACATGATATCAAGACACTGGATACTGCAAAGGCTACCGGCCCTGACAACACTCCAGCGATAATACTGAAGACTTGTGCTCCAGAACCTGCTGCTCCCTTAGCTAAGCTGTTCCAGTACAGTTACAACACTGGTATCTACCCGACAATGTGGAAAATTGCCCAAGTATGTCCTGTGCATAAAAAGCAGGACAAATCCAACTCCCTCAATTACTGCCCTATCAGTCCCCTCTCGATCATCAGTAAAGTGATGTAAGGTGTCATCAACAGTGCTATCAAGCAGCACCGGCTCAAATAACCTGCTCAGTGACGCCCAGTTTGGGTTCCGCCAGGGCCGCTCAGCTCCTGACCTCATTACAGCCTTAGTTCAAACATGGACAAAAGAGCTGAATTCAAGAGGTGAGGTGAGTGTGACAGCCCTTGATATCAAGGCTGCATTCAACTGAGTGTGGCATCAAGGAACCCTAGCAAAACTGGAATCAGTGGGTATCAGGGAGCAAACTCTCCGGTGGTTGGCGTCATACCTGACACATTGGAAGATGGTTGTGGTTGTTGGCGGTCAACCAACTCAGCTCTAGGACATCTCTGCAAGAGTTCCTCAGGGTAGTGTCCTAGGCCCAACCATCTTCAGCTGCTTCATCAATGACCTTCCCTCCATCATAAGGTCAGAGGTAGGGATTGTGCAATCATCAGCAAACATGTTCAGCACTGTTTGTGACTCCTCCCGATACTGAAGCAGTCTATGTTGAAATGCAACAAGATCTGGACAATATCCAGACTTGGGCTGACAAGTGGCACGTGACCTTAGCGTCACACAAATGCCAGGCTTTGACCATCACCAATAAGAGACAATCTAACCACCGCCCCTTGACATTCAGTGTTGTTACCATCACTGAATCTCCCACTGTCAACATCCTGAGGATTACCGTTGACCAGAAACTCAACTGGACTCACTACACTAACACAGTGGCTACAAGTGCAGGCCAGAAGCTGGGAATACTTCAGTGAGTAACTCCCCTCCTCACTCCTCAAAGCCTGTCCGCTATCTACAAGGCACAAGTCAGGAGTGTGATGGAATACTCCCCACTTGCCTGGATGAGTGCAGCTTCAACAACACTCGAAGCTTGACACCATCCAGGATAAAACTTAACATTGTAACCCCTGGTCCTGTCTAATCTATTTAATTGTAACAAAACCTGTTCTCTCTGTTATCTTAGAAATCTGAATTAAATCAATCTCAAGTCACAACAGTTCTAACTAAGTATTCTGCAAGTTGCCTTTTGTCCCAAGCTGTTTACCCAGCTGAAGAGAAGGAATGTCTATGCTATCTGAATAGCAGACCATGTTCGTTATCAACAGAATTATTAAATGATTATTTGAGGAAAAGAGAAAATTTCTCTCATGATGGTTGTTCAAAAAGTTACTGTATTGTTGGGTTTGAGCAGGCTATAAACAATATGTGAACTCTACTACTATTTTAAAATCATTTGAAGAGAAACTATTCATTCTGCAAGTACAATCAATGAAAGAACCCTTTACTGGCAAGGACCCATTATACAGACAGCTTGCCAAACCTTAAAATAGATACTGATCAGGTTATTGTCCAGCATTCTTTTCAATTAAATAGCTGAATCATTGCTTGGTACAAAGAAGGTAGACTCTCATTTATGAACCTCTCGCTAAATAAATTTGCTTGAACAACTCATCAAAGAAACCTAGTAGGCATTCTCTATCTCAACTTCCACAAGCTTTTGTCAAAGTACTACACAAAAAATTTCCCGATAAGATCAAAGACTTCTATACTATCAATAATGTATTGAGCTGGATTGAGAACTAGCTTGCTGAATGTAGACAAGCAGTTTCAAATTGGATCTGGATCTGTTTGGCAACTGGTTATCATTCCGGTCCTTCTGTTGCAATTGTTTAGTTCCTCCTTACTACAAGTTATGAATGAATGAATTTGCCCAGATTTTCCACAATATGGAAGTAGTCAAATCACTACAAACACACGCTGGTACCAATGCAAAACAGTCCTAACTTTATTAGGAAACAAATTACAATAGCTTTTACTACAAAACAATACTACCTCCATTCCTATTTGGCCCCTTAGGCTTGCAGTACTTCCCGAATCTGTTGTAGATTTGCGCAGCTGCTCTCGTTCGTGCGTGTTCTCTCTCTCTCTGTGACTGTGAAGCTGCTGTTTTCCTCTTCCTGTCCCTCTCGGGATGGTCAGCAGTTCTTTGCCTTTTGTTATGCTGGTCTTATCAGAAGGTCCAAGAGATCAGTCTGTAGGTGAACCCTGTTTTTATGCCATTTTTGGATGGTTCTCTTAACTTTCTATAGTTTTGGCCATTCAGGGAGACTCATTTAATGGTTTGATACATTGCCAATCATATGGATGGCTTATTACTATTTCTTTTGTATAGCAGGACCTGGACCCTCCTTTTGGTGGATAATTTGTTGGGGATATATCTGTCCAGAATAACTGTTGTCTTTTGCATTATGCTAATGTCATTAGCACTTGGCTGCTATGTTTGCACTCTGTCAGGTGTTTTGGGTTTTGTAAGTTCAGAGTTTTACTTGGCTAACATGGCCAAACCGCAAGTATGTTGGATAAGTTAGCAATCCATCTGTGCTTTAGCAGACAGGATGTTGCCACACAATCTTTGGTCTTTCCCATTTTAATATATAATCTAGATGTAAGTTTGGGGACTGATATTCAGATTCATAATGACATGACAATCTATGTGGATATTTTGATGATAGCCATGGCTTGACAGCTTCAGACAGATTTGATATTTTGGGAAATTGGGCTCAACTGGTTAATTTACTTAGTGCAGTAACAAATGTGAATCAGCCTTCAGAGAAGAAGATTAAAGAGGGTGGAGAGGGTAAGACTTGTCTGTTCTACTGTATAGATCTTTAAATGTCCGTGAACAGTGCAAAGAAGCAATAAGGTACTGTCAGTGCATTATTGAGGCAATTAAGACATGACATTCTATTTGACCTTGTACAAGATCATAGTTAGGTCTTGGTTCTAATATTGTGTTCAGTTTTGCTCTTGCACAGTAGGTGATTTTGATTGAGACATTTTAAAGGGTGCATAGAAACGCCACTAGAATAATACACATTATAAAGATAGGGTAAAAGAGTTAGAACTGCAGTGACTTGAAGTTGACCTGATTCAGATTTCTAAGATAAGAGAATAGGTTTTGTTACAGTTAAATAGCTGGAGAGGACTAGGGGTTACAATTTAAGTTGTATACACCAGAGTTAGGGTCACCAGACCTGAAACATTAACTGATTTTTCTCCACAGATGCTACCAGACCTGCTGAACTTTTCCAGCAACTTCTGCTTTTGTTCTAGAGCTAGGTCAGAACCTCAACAAAAACAAAGTTGCTGAAAAAGGTCAGCAAGTCTGGCAGCATCTGTGAAGGACAAAAGAGTTAACGTTTCTGGTCCGGTGACCCTTCCTCAGTTCTGAAACGTTAACTGTTTTGTCCTTCACAGACACTGCCAGACCTGCTGAGCTTTTCCAGCAGCTTTGTTTTTGTTCCTGATTTACAGCATCCGCAGTTCTTTTGGTTTTTATTGTGTATATTATGATGTATGTGGAATTAAGGTTTTTACTTTTCTGTCATTGTGCCTTTTTGGTGTGAATTAGGGGTGATGTTCTTGGTAACCATATTGCACGTTGTTCTTCTTTCTTTGACAGCACCCCCCACCTCCCCAGGTGGAGGATGACTTGCTTCTACTCCAGGGCAATAGTTTCGGTAGTAC